TCGTCCAGAGAAGTGTCTATTTTTGGCTGAATGTTGAATGTAATTAATAGATTGGCGAGTCATTAATATCTACACCTTCTTCAATTATTTGAGATATGACACGCATATTCACTGTTTACTTATCCCAAGTATAATTTTGCTCGCTTCCTAGGTCCTTTTTAAATATCCCTTTTTAAAGTAAGCACTCGAAAAATTTTATACTCACAAATTTCAGGGTAAACTGTTTTATGAATTTCAAAAGATTTATAAAAATTTAAAGCAATGCTGGACTACAGATGTATTCAAAAACTGCTCATCAATCAGATTGACTTTATATACATATATCCACACAAGTGGAAAAACTATTTCAAATTACTTGCGACAAAATCAAAATTTTTTCTTACAAATTTATTTTTTTCGCATTGTTCCTACTTTAAGCTCGTGTCATGACTGCAAATATGAATTTTTAGCAAAACATTATTTTTAGTTTGGGTTAGTTGGATATTTTTTTATGCATCAGTGCAATTACTTTTTCAGAATTCGCTAATCCGTTTTTACTACTTTGTAATTCTGCCACCGGATAACCTCCATCTTTTTTGAAGTCGGTTAAAAAGCGAATTTGATTTCATGAAATTATTAATATGAAAATAAATATATTAATATGTAGTTCAAGTAATATCCCTGCAAACCATATTTTCAGAGTATTCTGAATTGTAGAGAAATTTTAAAGAATTCGTAATTTTCGCCGAATTTTCTAAAATAAACTTAATTGGACACTTCGATTCTTTTACGAAATTTCGGAAGATTCTTTTACGGAATTTGAGAAGAATTTCTTGCAGAATTTTCTTTATTTTTCGTACACGACTTCATATAATTTTCTTTGAAGATTCGTAAAAAAATCGTTACAGAAATCAGATACTCCTAAAGATTTCGTTTAAGATTTCGGGAACTTTGGTTTGCAGGGATGTATGCATGAATGTACATATGTATGTAGTTATGTATATAAAAAGTATAAAGTAAAATGTTTTCGTTCATTTTTTTATTAACTTAGCGCATTGTGCAAAGATAAGATGAACTTCTTATCAGATTTTTTTATGTACTGTATATTTAATTATACATACATACATACATATCAATGTATGGAGATAAACAATCAGCCTTATCATGAGTTTCATTTTCGCCCGAAATCATTAACTTTTCTCTTTTCGCTTATGTGTATTCACTACGGGCGGATGAAAAATTTTCGGATGAATTTGTTTTCGGGCGAGACTGCGATAAGGCTGAATATGTACATTTTTAGCGCCTTTAGAACATATTTATGTACATATGTACTAAGGTATTTACATCTATGCAAAAATACGGAATATTTTACGGTAAAATGTGATATTTGGTGTGCTCTTAAATATGCTTTTACAATCAACAATAGGCCTGCAAATAAAATTGTTGCCTTCAACTACTAATTCTTGCTGTGGAAAAATAATTAGCATTGCACACACTACTACATACATACATATATAATTACTTTGTATCCTTGTATAAATATTTATGTAGGTTAATTTCTTTCACTATATCTATACATCTAAGCCCGTTTGATGGGCGAATGTGGTTATTTTAGGTCCCACCATTGGTAACAACAAACAAAACTTTCAATATATTCAACATGTATTATTTCCTTTCCGTGCATGTAATATTTCACATCACACTTGAAGACCGATATAACAAAAAACTTCCTAACGACGCATTATGCTGTAATATTAAAATTTCTTTTGCGATTTCAAAACTATACCTAAAACGAGGTGCATTCTATGCGAATATTTGCAAATTTTGCTTGTGTTGAAAAGGAAATTTTATCTAATCATTATGGCGAAGAAAATTTTTTAGGCGTTCCGGTAGCGGCAACTTTTCAATATTTTGCGATTTGATGTTTAAGAGAATAGCATCTCTGCAAGCATTTTGTAAAGAAACGACTAAAAGAAAAAATAAAGAAAATAAGTATTTATAAATTGATAAATATATACATATGTGTATGTATTTATTAGTGTCCCAAATATAAATTATGATGCGACATTTTAGTTATAGGTGCTGCTCATTTTCTTGTATGCATAAGTTAGCTATTTCAACCTTGCACTTTATTATACTACAATTTAGGGAATTACAAAACTTCATAATAAAAAAAGTTTGAAATTTTGGTGAAACCTTGCACAATGTTCATAGCTTTTGCACAAAGTCTGAAATTTGGATTTATGTACATATATGGCTTTTATTCGATGAGATAAACATGCATAAAAAAATAACAAACATAACCAGAGCAAAATAGCCATAACTTGCCCAATTTATATTTGGGCTACTGTAAGTAAATATATGCAAAAATACATTTGCTATGATTCGGCACTTACTTCCATAAAGTTGTATGATTCGAATCTGCTTTGTTGTGCCATAAACATCAATTACCACGTGCAAAGGAGATTTATCCATGGGTATTTCCTTCGTGCACGGTCCTTGGTCAACTCCATTTATAATAAAATGCATCTCTCCTTTTTCCTTATCAGCTTCTGTAGGCACGTATACAACGCCAATACGAGAACCCTTATCTGTTAGTAAAATGCCCGAATTGGAATCACCATTTTCAACAGTGGGTCTTAATAACCTCTTTGGTATCATGCCCCGTGGAGTGCGTACATAAATAGAGTCCCCAAGGATATTGCCTATAAAAGAACGCGCAAATTTTATGTCAACGATTTTTTCTTAAAATATGCGACACTTACTTCTGGGTAGGGAGTTTGGCTCTTCTTCATCGTCCGTACCAGATATATCCTGACGCGGTACCCCGGGTTGCGGTACGTTGTGAAACAATGGATTCGTTTCGATAACCCCACCAGCAGTACCGCTACGGGGCGTTAAGGAATGCGATTCAAATTTCGAGATTGGATATATCCAGCTAGTTCCCAGGTTAGCCAAGTCCGGCAACGCAAACTGTGGCAAACCTTCTGACATTGAACCAACCACATCGGGGAGCAATTGCGTTAATCCAAGCCTGATATGACCCGACCAGCCACGTTCATTTTTTTCTATTTCAACTAGAAAAATTTCGCCGGGTTGAAGTGGTTTCTCTGAAAAGGTAACTGCATCAGCGAAGCTGGCTTTGCGGTAGGCGACCGTGTTGTCTTCACATAAAATTATATTGGCGCCATGATACGGATGGAATCGAGCTAATTGTCGTTTGTTGATGGTATTACAAGTCTGCATTTTTTCAGCGTTGACTGGATTGTTAGTTGGTAGACTGCCCATAGAAACCGATGCAGAGGTGCCGGAACCGACTTCAACCTGAGGAGCAGCTGCCACTGGCTGTAATTGCCTTGGTACTGCCATTTCGCTGTCCATTCCTGGATTTTAGCTCTATATATTAATTTTTGAGTTAATTAAGGTTCACTGAAACGAAGTTCCGAGCTATTAAACCACTTTTACTAATTTTTCATATTTTTCCGAATATGCGAAATGAAAACAAATATGTACAAAATTGCACCCGACTTGGAACTGTCAAAATTATTGAATGAATGAAGTGGTGCCATTTTTTAACTCGCACACCCAAGTGGTGTTTCCTTGGGTTATCCAGTTCAGTATCACGATCATTTCTCACGGAATGGATCATTCTTATTGGGGTCGGCCGCACTAATTTTATACTACTAGCACGAGGAAAACGAAATTATAAAATTAATTCACTAAATGGGGAAAAGTACATTTAAACGAAATAATATTCACTTAAACGTAAAGGCGATTTATTTTTGTAGCAAGTTAAGAGAAGCAATGCGAGAATATTGAAATTCCTGACAAATTTTAAGTATTCTCTCTCTAACAGACAAAAATGTTGATAATTAGTAGAAACTAGTATCAACAATTTACATTCCGAACAGAACTAATTTGAATAAACAAGTTTTTTAAATTGGAAAATGTACAAACTTTAGCGACTTGCTAATGGAAAACGCAAGTGCATACTTGTAAATTTATACAGGGAGTATTCGCAAGTTCCCCTCAAAATGGAATGTAATTTGCTCTCAATTTTCCCTTCCTTGCAATTTTTTTCGACATCTCGGACATAATTTACGACAAATCGTGATAACTCAATTTACACCCTCCCAAATTGTATAGCAAATCGCCATACCATCAAACATTCATATATAACACTTAATAATATATATAACAGATTTGCAAGCGTTCTTTGATATGAATACGGGTAAGTTCTATGAGCATGCATATGAGTTGCTATGGAGATAAAATAATAAAAAATTTTCCGCTTGAATGCGCATTTTAACTTCACTGTATTTAGCAAGCAACAGCTGTTTTCTATGCTTTGGCAGCATTGTTGTGTTCATGTAACCAAAAAATTTAATTGCCTTCTTTTCGTACGGGAATAATTAATTTATTTGGGCGCCAATAGGTAAAATTTGTGTAAATTTGTTATCATCGGAGAATGACAGTGATGTTAATCAATGAGGATTGATAACAGCCGCACGTTGATACCAAATCCATTCAAAATATTTCATATTGTATTTACAGATAGCCGAAATGCGGGTGCCTTCTGCTGTTTTCGCGTATAAGAATCGAGATGCTCGTGCACCACAGAAAGAACATAATGTGCCCTTTCAGGAAATACTACCACTTCGTTTAAAAAACAGAGTAAGCGGCAAGTTAGACTCTACATCTGATGTAGCATGCTTGCAGGAAATGGGTGTCCTTTTTGCCTGCCTCAAGGACAACGACTTTGTTGAGAAGTACTGCAATAGGGAAATACAACAATTCCAAAAGTGTTATAAAATGTATGCGGATAAAAAGTTTGAAGCCAAGAAAACAGTCAACCAAGGTATTATAACTCCAGGCAAAAACCTCAACTATAAACAACTGAACAAGTACATGCGACGCTTTCCAAATCCCGAGTAGTATTAGTACCATGCTAATTTAATAATCAAAAATAAAGGACTTCAACACGCTACAAAAAAAAAAAAAAAAATATGACCGCCGGAATGTATATGGACTGGTAATCGATTATTTTTTTACCACTTTATTCTACATGGTTTCTTCAAGTTTAAAGCTATTTTATGAACTAAATTAAATTAAAAAACAACATCTGCTTCTCCAAGCCCTCCAGATGATGAAGGCGACGATTGACCAAGAACGGTGACGAATCCCGAACTACGCCCAACTATCCCAACTCTTTGTCTCAACTCGTACAACTCTCTCATTAGCGACTGCTTTTCACGTTCTAAGAGAGCGATTCGGTCGGTTTTTAAGTTTACTTCATTCGTAAGGTTATGATTCTGTTGACGCAGACGATCTACGGGTTGCAGCAAACCTCCACTATTGCCGCTGACATTACGTTGATTTAGTGCCTTACCGGGTGACCTAATTGCTAGATTAAAGTGCAGAGGAAATCCACCACGTTCCCAACAATCAGCAAGAGTTGCTAAATTGCGATTAACCTCATAAACACGAGCTCGTTGAAATTCCAGCCGTTCCTGCTGGACTTCAGACCATTGCTCCTATAACAAGTAAACAATTATTCAACTAATGATTAAATCAAACATTTACATACACGATATTACTCACTACGTGTCCTATCCGTCCCAAATACTTTATCTTTTCTTGAACATTAGCAATTTGTTGTAAGTACCAGTCGCGGGCTTTTTCCACTGCATCCAATCCCGTTAAGAGTACTTCACGTTCCTCTTCAAATTGCTTGAGACGTTTCAGCATATTATAGTCAATGCCATTCTGCAGTGTGTGCCTTCGTGGCTCCCTTCTCTTGGAGCTAGTCTTCTTCGGGTGCAATGTGCCTACAGTTCCGGTTACACTGTCAGTGGCTGATGATGATCCACCATCTGCACAACCACGATAAGGAAATTGATTGTAAATATATGCTGAGTCGTGTTTCTCTTTTGCGCCCATTTCATTTAAAAGTATTCCCATTTGCCAATTCTGCAGAGCATGTCGAATTTCCGCTTTATCTAAAGGAGTAGGTGGCGTATTAGGTGCCCCAAGTTGACTAGCAGCAGAAGCGCGTGGAGGTTTCGGTGGCGGCGGTGGAGAATTGTATACATCAACGTCTGTGCTCACCATTTCTGCTTCTATCTCTGAATCCGGACTTAACTGTGGTAAACTTAATGCCCGGTGGGATGAGACGATTTTGTGAGGTCGCACTGTGGCAGTTGTGACGTTGGTAACGGCCCACGTTGTGTTGCCGTGTACAGTGCTTTCGATATCCAACAGAGGTGCTGAAGGTGGGCGCGGCGGTTTCACAGGTGAAACACTGCTCGCACCGGGTGATGCGTTTCCGATGGACGCGCTCTGATTACGCAACAAACACAATTTTAATCCTGCACAGAAACGATCAAACGACAGAAGACCACTTGGAGGTGTAACTTTTCGAAGAGAATCAATGACGCCATGCGGCAATCCTTTGCAACCATCATCTTGCCAACCTTTTTCAATGTCTAAAAATCTTACAAAACCCGTGTGCTGATCGTCCAATATGTCGAAGAGGGTTTTCATCGAAGCGACAAACTGCTTTGGAAGTGCATCCATTGGACTGGCCGACGTTGAGCCACATGCGTTAGTATTCGTTATGTTGGAGTTAATTTTTGTATTACTTGACATGTTCATCATACCTGATCCATTGCGTCTCAACATAAATTGTATGTAGGTACAAATATAAGCCTGTAAATCAAAAAGGAATAATTGTATGTTAGTTATTTTCATAATTTCTTCTGAATCTAAGAAATTTGTAACTTATAGAGAAATATCCCTAGGTTAATCTGAGTACAACTAACTTATTGATATAATCGGCCAACAGAAGAGCAGTAATTTTTTCGAGATCAAAAATCAAAACGTAGAAAAATTAAGCAGGGGCTCCCACAGAGGAGTGCTTCAGTTTAACTTTTATATATCGGTAAAAAAAATATTAAACCATACAAAGCATGCAAGTAGTTGGTATAATCGTCGTTGGTTGTTGCGCTTCTGTGCCAACTGATGTCAATTGGAAATGCCAAGTGAAGACAAGGCCTCCCCCTCCTTGTTTTCTCACCAGCCATAAACACTCAGATAACACGTGGCCTAAACCGTAAAGAACTATTCTAGTCGTTGCATCTATCAAAGACGTTTGATACCGTCAGCCACTCCACGCTGCTAGAAGACATAGAGGCCTCTTCGACACTCGTCAGTAATGTTTAGAGACAACTCGAGCAAACCTAGACAACTTAAACAGGGGGTTCCACAGGGTGGTGTCCTTTTCCCACTACTGTTTAACTTTTATATTTCCAAGCTCCCTCAACCATCCGAGGGAGTCTCGATTGTCTCTTACGCTGACAATTGTTGACTTGTTCGGGTATCTCTTCGAGCTTTCTCGCTTCTTCACTGCCAGGAGCCTAACCCTTTCCCCTACAAAATCCACAGCGACCTTGTTTACCACGTGGTTCGAAGGAGGTCAGACTACCGCTGGGTATTCACGTTGATAATAGACCAATTCCGACGGTGAATAACCCAAAGCCCGGAGTAACTTTCGACAGTCTGCTCTCCTCTGCGCACACAACCGCATTTTTCAACAAAGTACAGAGCCGCAACAAGGTCCGCAAGTCGCTAGCCGGCAGTACTTGGGGGGGGGCAAAGACAAAGAAACGTTGCTGGCAATATACAAGGCAATTGGCCGGCCGGTTCTAAATTACGCAGTGCCAGTGTGGTCGCCGGGGATCAGTAGGACGCAGTGGATGAAGCTACAGACAGTACAGAACACTGCAATTCGGACAGCGACCGGATGTCTTCTGATGTCGCCAGAACACCACCTACACGACGAGGCCCAGATGCTTCCAATTAAGGAGCATAACACAATGCTCTGTAAGCAATTCTTAGTAGGGAACCATCGACGTGGACACCCGAACAGGCACTTGGTTGCAGAGCAGCCCTCGCCAAGGCATGTCAGAAGGCATCTATATGCACTGACGGACGAAGTCCATATTGACTGCTGAGTGGAAGATCGACCTATCTTGGCAGCCAGTTCGAAAACGCCCTATCTCAAAAAACTTTTCAAGAACGCCCTATTTCCGAATTTTATTGAAACCCCCTATCTCAGAATTTGGTTGAAGAACGCCCTATCTCAGAATTCGGTTCAAAAACGCCCTATCTTACTTTAAAATGTATTGAAAATGTGCTGATATAGGGCGTTTTTGAAACGGCAGCTGAGATAGAGCATTTTTGAAACAAATTCTGAAATAGGGTGTTCTTCTGCAAAATTCTCAAATAGGGCGTTCTTGAAAAGTTTTTTGAGATAGGGCGTTTTCGAACTGGTTGCCGAGATAGGTCGATCAGCAGTCGATATGTAGTGAGCGGCATCACCAAAAAGAAAAGGAAAATTGTCGAGGTTTTTCCGCCGGAATTTTAAAATTTGATTTATCTTAAGACTTTTGCCAAAATATTTCGGAAAAATGTTAGGATTTGCTGGAGCTGAACCGATTTGAAAATACCTACAAAAATTGCATTAGTTTGATTCAATAGGAAAATTTCTTAAACATTTCATGCAGACCTTTTAAGCTTAAACTTTTTCAACATCTGGGGCAAGGCACATTAAACAGGTAGTATCAGTAGAGCAAAAACAACATTTGCGTGTATTTTGTTGTTGCTTCTGGTATCGAAAGTGTCAAAAACTGTTCTGAATTTTTTCTTCTAAATCAAAGCGTGCCATGTGAAATACAAAAAATTATAAAAAATAAAAAATTGAAATTGGAAAAAATAAAAATTGTTGCAACTTTCTTTCCTAGTAAATTTATTTGCTTCTCGAAGCATTGATCCATCCTTTACAAGGGCCAGTAATCAGCGGTTGTGCTGCTGAGTTGGGCGAACGTTCCAAAAGCTGTTATTCAATCGATTGTTTTGTATGGAAAAAGGTTTCACATGCAAATGGATTTTAATACTTCAGAATTTTTGTGAGAAAAAATTAAAAATATTTGACATTTTCGAGACCAAATAATTTGAAAATAAATCAAATCAGCTGCTCTACTGATTTTACCTGTTCAATGTACCTTGATCTGGGGTAATTTTTTAGACAAAAATGTAAAAATACATTTTTTTTTATAAAAATCTCGAAATATTTCAGCGCAAGTTTTTAAAAATATAATAAATTTTATATTTCCGATGGAAAAACTACTTTTTTATTGAAACAGATGCGCCCTCATGTACACTGGCGGCAGAATAATAGTCTCATCGTACTTTAACGTACAGTTTTGGCTATATTTCTTTAGTTTATTTTATGTTTAAAAAATCACAAAAATTTTTGACACTTTCGTTACCAGAAGCAACAACAAAACACACGCAAATGTTGTTTTTGCTGTAATGCTACTATCTGTTTGAT